TTTCTGAATAAACACTATGGGCAAGGAGAGAATCGAATGATGTGTTCCAAATACTTAAGAACTGCCAGCCAAGAATACTGTATCTTTGCAAGACTCTCTACCCAAAAGACACAAAAACACTGATCCAAAAGAACACCTGTAACCCTATGTTTATTGCAGCACTATTTACAATAGGCAAAACCTGGAAACAACCCAAATGCCCAAAAATAGATTACTGGATCAAAAAGATGTGGTATATATACACAATGGAATACTATTCAGCAATCAAAAAAGATAAATTCATGCCATTCGCAGCAACGTGGATGGAGTTAACATGGATGGAGAATTATGCTCAGTGAAATAAGACAGGAGGAAAAAGAAATATATCAGATGATTTCACTTATAGCAGGAATATAGGGGAACCAAATAAAACATCAGTGTAAAAGAATAGTAACAGTACAAAATACAACAAAGCAAAAACAGACAATTATAAATCAGAGACATACTGCAGGGGAGGCGGAGGGAGAGGGATCAAAGGGAGGGAGGAGGGGCAGAGAGGACTCTGGTGATGGTGCACAGGTGCATTGGTGAAGGAAATTCTATGGGGACTACACCTGAGGGGGTGGGGGAAGCAAATATTGTTTAAAAATGAACAACAATGTAAAAAATAAATAATAAATAAATAAATAAATATATGAGGGAGATAATAAAGGTTTTATAGACAAACAGAAACTGAAGGAGCTTGCAAACACTAAACAACCCCTCCAACAAATATTGAAAGGAGTTCTTGTATCTAAACCCAAGGGAGGAATAGATACAAAAACTGAACAAAGAAATATATAAAACCACAAAAGATAAGGACAAAATGACAGCAACATATTTTCTTTCATCAGTAATCACTGTAAAAGTAAACAGACTGAACTCACCAATTAAAAGGCAGAGAGTCTGGTTGGCTCAACAACAGAACCCAACTTTCTGCTGTCTCCAGGAAACACACCTAAGCTCCAAAGATAAATATAAACTACAAGTGAAGGGTTGGAAAACAATCTGACAAACAAGTAAGACTCAAAATAAGGCAGGAACAGCCATACTCATATTTCACAACATATGCTTTAGGAATATGTCTGTGGATTTGTCTCCAGCGGTATGGAAAATAAGAACATAAACAAATGGGACTACATAAAACTAAAAAGCTTTTGCACAGCAAAAGAAACTTAACCAAAACAAAAATATATCACACTAAATGGGAAAAAATATTCGTACACCATACAACTGAGAAGCAACTGAAATCCAAGATTTACAAAGAACTCATACACTTCTACAAAAAGAAAAACCAATTAAAAATTGGGAAGAGGGCCTCCTGGGTGGTGCAGCGGTTGAGCGCTGGGTTGCGAAGCAGCCTCTGCAGTGCTGGTTCGATCCCCGGCTGCCGGGTGAGGGTCCCACATGGCACGCAGACCTCTCCTGCCGCCCACTGCTCCCCTTAGCAGTGTACTTCGTCAGTCTGCCTGCTCTGCTCTCCTCTCTGACTCTGGTGAATTCTCTCACCCTCCCGCACTTCTGACTGTACCCAGTGCTTGTATAAATAAAAATAAATAAATTATTTTCATATTCCCCATACAATTACAACCCCCTTATTTTGACCCCAAGCCCTCCTTTCCCCAAAATAAAAATAAATAAATAAATAAATAAATTTTACTGCTAATAAAGACATTAAAAAAATAAATAAGACACCTTCAGATTCTTCGAAGTATAACTCGGTGTAAAATCAATGGCATCATTATTAACAAAGAACTTGGGGTAGGTTGTTACTATGTAATTTCTTTATAGGAGACTTCAAAATAGAGATCATACAAGCAAGTAATTTATAATTACTTAAGTTATACAAAGCAAATAAATGTATTAAAATATTGCTTCATTTTAATATATGAAAATGTATCTGAGAGTAAACTTTATGCCTTCATTGTTAAAAAAATAAATAAAATAAAATAAATAAATTTTAAAAAATTGGGAAGAATAAATAAGTAGGCACTCCTCTAAATAAGATATACAAATGGCCAAGAGGCACATGAAAAAATGTTCATCATCACTTATCGTCAGAGAAATGCAAATCAAAATCACAATTAGATACCATCTCACACCTGTGAGAATGGCCCATATCAAAAAGACCAGGAACATGTGGGTGAGGATGTGGAGAAAAAGGAACCCTACTACACTGCTCATGAAAATGTAGACTGGTCCAACGCCTATGGAAAATGGTATAGCTGTTTCTCAAATGACTACAAATGGATCTGCCACACGACCCAGCAATTCCACTCCGAAGAACACAAGAACACTAATTTGAAAGGAAACTTGCGCTCTCATGTTCACTGCAGCACAGTTTACCATAGCCAGGATATGGAAATATACTAAATGCTCAAAAACAGATGAATGAATTAAGAAGATGTAGTGTATATGTACACTATATATACAATGGAATACTACTCAGCTATCAAAAAAGATAAAACTCTTGCCATTCAGAACAATATGGATAGAGCTGGAAGGATTAACACTAAGCAAAATCAGTCAGAAGGAGAACGACAAATACTGGATGGTATCACTTATATGTGGAAAACAGAGAAATAAAACAAATGGTAAGAGAAACCAAACTGAAAAACTAACCCCTGAAACCTAACCGTGGAATGGGGGCAACCAGAGGGGGTGAGGAGGGAGAAAGGAAGGGACAAGAACAAAGAAAGGAGGGAGCACAGGGTCTATAGTGGTGGGCTATGGGCTCTTTGGTGGTGGGCACACTATGGCAACAATACCTGAAGGGGGAATCATATAAATATAAAATGGATACAACAATGTATACCAATATTAACTCAATAAAAAATATTTTTTAAAACTATCCACAGGATTTTTTTGTTAGATATAGACAAGAGTATTCTAAAACAGATATGGAAAGGCAAAGGAGCTAGAACAGACAAAACAACTAAAAAATAATAAAATTGAAAGAAACAAAACCCTATTTTAAGACTTGGCATAAAGATTATCAAGACAGTGTTTTATTTGCAAACACTGAACAGAATAAAGTCCAGAAATAGACCCACACAAATATAGAGAAATGATTTCTGACAAAGACAATTCAATGAAGAAAGGACAGTCTTTTCAACAAACTGTGTTAAAACAATTGGTCATGCATATGCAAAACAAAGTGAAAGAAAATGCCTCACACTTTATACAAAAAATAAACTAAATGTGGATGATTTATTCTAAATGAAAAATATAAAATTTTAAAATTTTTAGAAGAAAAGAGTTTGTGATGCCTGCAATAGTCAGTTATTAAAATATGACACCAAATGCATGACCCAAAAAATGAAAAGTGATAAAAATTTTTGCTTTGTGAAAGATACTTAAAAATGTAAAAACGACACTGGAAGAAAATATATGCAAAACATATTCAACAAAAGATTGTATGCAGAATATAGTCATGCACCACTTAACAAGAGGGATAACGTCTTAGAAACACATTATTTAGGTGATTTCTTCATTCTGAAAATGTCACAGAATGTACTTACGACACAAATCTCGATGGGATAATCTACTACACTCTTTAAGGTATAGGCACCACCATCATATATACAAATTGTCATAGCAAAACATCATGTAGCTCATGAGTACATATGAAGATCTCCCAAAACTCAACAGTAACTAAACAAACCAATTAAAAGTGAGCAAAAGACTATTCATGTCCATTCACCAAAGAGGAAATATGGATGGTGCAAGAAAAAAATGTTTATCATTAGTTGTTTGTGACATGTAAATTATGATGAGCTACCACTACATGCCTATTAGAATGACTATAAAGAAATACTGATGATAACAAGGGCTGGTGAGGAATGGAACAGGCACTCTGTAAAATGGTTCAGGGCAAGGTAAAACATACTTATCATAACCTAGAAACCCCACTTCCTGGTATTTATACTAGCGAAATGTAAACTTATGTTCATTCAAAAACCTCTATAGAAATGTTTATAGAATATCTATTCATAGCCACGAAAAACTGTAAACCACTCAGATACCTCTAGGGATGAATGGACAAACTTCAGTATATCCACACAATGAATAATACTCAGCAATAAAAAGAAATGAATGATTAATGGATGCAACGTGCAACAACACAGAATCTCAAAGGCATTATATAATGAATGAAAAAAGTCATTCTCAAAAGATTTCAAGGCCCTTCAATAGCTTAGTTGGTATAGTAGAGGACTGTAGTTGGGCAAAAGATTTCATACCATATGATTCTACTCATACATATTTTCTAAAACATGTAACTACAGTGACACAGAATAGATTGGCAGTTCCCAGGGGAAACAGGTAAGTTTGTGTGGGATTGCAATGAGATAACATGAGAGATTTCTGTGGAGTTGCACAACTCTTTTGATCTTGATTGTAATGGTGGTTACATAATTTATGTGTTAAAAATCTGCAGAACTATACAAACACACGCATAAAAGTCAGTTTTTCTGTATGTTAATTTAAAAAATAAAATGGGAAACCCAGAGCTGTAAGTTTAAATTAACTTAATTGCACAAAATCCCAGCCAAGCCCTTTTTCACTATTAACAATGAAATATTGATTCTTTAAGTAGCCTTTTTCAATACCCATTATCCTTCACTAAGGAAAACATCCTTTATGTTAAAATATACAGTGAAACAAAAACAACAGTTGAAGGACACATGCCACAGTGCTTCTCAGGAATGAGATTTTAAGATCTTAAATTTGTTTTCTTTATTTGCTAAATTTTCCAGAATGAACTTGTCTAACTTGGATAATCAGTTTAAAAAAAGTAAAGAACCTTTATAGTACAGGCCTAGAAATGTTTTCTAAAGGAAACTTTAGGGCTTCAGTCTGTGAGCATGGAGAATATAAGCAGCTAAGAGAAGTTAGAATCACAGAAAAGATCAGGTCTGTTGGTGGAACTGGTGAAGGTAAAAACAAAACTGGCAACATTTAGAAGAGGAAGTTTGGCTCACCTGAGACTGTTTGAAAACATCCTTCCCAACCACATCCAGGTTTGAGGGGTCTTTGATGGAACTAACATATTCAGAAACTGCCTTGATCACAACATCACAGGGAGGAAGAACCAGCTGATGAGCTCGCACCTAGAAGAGGTAAGGGACACTGATGTCAAAGATGGATCACTAAGAAAAAAGGGTGAGACACAGAAAATCACTAAGCAAATAGGGTGAGAGACAGAATTCAAATCAGCAAATCCACGAAGATGTAGTAAAAATAGTTTCACCCCCTATTTCTCAGTACAGAACAGAGATAAAATCATAAATCCTACTAGAGAGAACCACTGTTTTATGACACTGCCATTATTAATCAGTTTTCTTTCATAATACATTTTGGCTCTTTCTAATTCTTAGCTATTAAAGGTAATGTTGCAATGCATGAACCACATTTGGATCATGATTTAAAAGCTCAAAACAGGCAAAAAAAGTGTTTGAGAACATGAACTAGATATTAAGATGATACCAAGAAATTATCATTAATTTTCTAAGGAGTAATAATGGCATTGTGTTTATGTAAGAATATACCCATATGTTTTAGAGATGCACACAGAAAAATCTGGCATTTGTTTTAAAATATATTAGCAAAAGCAACAAAAAAAAAAGACAAGTATGGCCATATTTTGATAACTGTTGGATCTGTAAATGTTATAATGGTGGTTCACTTTATTATTATAGTATTTCTCTACTTTTGTGATGCTTGAAATTTTTAAAAAAATGTTTTTTTAATGCTATGATGAAATGTAGGTATGATTTGTTTCTTACTTTCCAACTATTTAACTGCAAGCTTCCTAGAACCGTAATTACTGAGTCAAAGGGTGTAAACTTAAAGGCTTTTTTTAATATATTGTTTTGCCAAAAGCCTATATATTCATTCCTTCAACAAATATTTTACTGCTTACTCTGTGCTAGGCACTGTCATAGGCACCAGAGACACAGCGGTGAACAAATAGACAAAAATTCCTGCCTTGGGGCCTCCATGGTCGCGCAGAGGTTAAAGTCTCAATGCTATCAATCTATCACCAGCCACTGTGGCATGAGTTCGATCCCTGGCTAGGGAGCTGACCCACATGGCACAGCAGACCTCTTCTGTCTCGCCCGCTGCTCAACTTAGCAGTGTATTTCAGTAGATCTGCCTGTTCTGCTCCCCACTGTCTCTGTCTGGTGAATCCTCTCACCCCCCTGCACCTCTGGCTTATACCCCATTTCTTGTATGCATAAATAAATAAAAATAAATCTTAAAAAAAAACTTTGCCTTCATGGGGTAAATTCTATGGAGAAAATATAAGCAGGAAAGGGGCTAGCAAATGCAGGTAAGTGTATGTGTGCATATGTCAAATAGGGTGGTCAGGAAAGGCCTCACTGAGAAAGTGACATTTGAGAAAAGCTATAGAAGTGAGTAAGTAGCTGTAGGGTAAAGAAAATATCAGGCTTTTCTGCCCTTCTGCCATCAGGATAGATGATGGATCCTTGTCCTGAATGCATGCCTGATGGCGGGCACCTGGAATAGGGTGTGGGCATAGGTAGATGGGATTCAGCTGAGCTAAGACTGTGCTTTTAAGGGCGGCGTCTCGGGGACGCCAGCAGCAGCAGCAGTAGCAGCAGTAGCAGCAGTAGAAGCCGAAGCGGAAGCCGAGAAGCAGCAGAAAGAACGCCAGAGAGCCCAGATAGAGTAAAGACTTGCTGGGGGCTGGGAGGCCTGCCAGCCTCCCAGCCAGCACCCCTGCTTGCCATATGCCTGGTGAACCCCAAATAAAAAACCTGCAAAACCACTGAGGACTCTGACTCCTCCTTTACCCGGTCTGCATGGGATCAGAAAACCTGCACTGTAGCCAGTCCGGCCTCTTACAGTAGCTATGTGAGAAAAAATAATTCCACGTAGAGTAAGTGCATAGGCTCTATGAGCAAAAGGAAAAGATATCAGAGCTGTAATGGGGGGCAGATAGTACAGTGGGTCAAATAGTATTATTTAATTAGAATGTTGATAAAAAAAAAGGTGGCTCCTACCTGGGGCCACAGTCTGTGTGGAGTTTACACATTCCCTCCATGTCTGTATAAGTTATCTCTGGGTGCTCCAATTTCCTCCCACATTTCTAAGATGTGCATGTTAGGTTCACTGAGGTATGTGAAGATGCACTTTAATAGAAGGGTGTCTGTAGGGTAAGGAAAAAGTATCAGGCTTTTCTGCCCTCCTGCCATTAGGATAGATGAAGGAACCCTGTGGTCCTGAATGCATGCCTGATGGCGGGCACCTGAAGTGGGTAACCCTGGGCTGAGAGACTGAGTTTATAAGGGCGGCGTCACAGGGATGCCAGCAGAAGCTGAAAGAGAAGCCAAAAACGAACAGAAAGCGAGAGATGAAGAGGAGAAGCAGAGTGTAGGGTAGTTAAAGGTATCTGGCTTTTCTGCCTTCCCGCCGTCAGGATAGATGACGGATTTGCGGTCCTGAATGCATGCCTGATGGTGGGCACCTGGAGTAGGGTGTGGGCATCGGTAGATGGGATTCACCTGGGCTGAGACTGGGCTTTTAAGGGCGGCGTCACGGGGACGCCAGCAGAAGCCGAAAGAGAAGCCAAGAAAGAAGCAGCAGAAGCCGAGAGAGAAGCAGAGAATGAAGGAGAGCCCGGATAGAGTGAAGACTTGCTGGGGGTTGGGAGGCCTGCCAGCCTCCCGGCCCCCCAGCACCCCTGCCTGCCATATGCCTGGTGAACCCCAATAAAAGACCTGCAAAAGCCACTAAGGACTCTGACTCCTCCTTTACCCAGTCTGCATGGGATCATAGAAAACCTGCACTGTGGCCCAGTCCTGCTCCTACACAGAGATCACCAGAGAGCCCAGATAGAGTGAGGATTTGCTGGGGGCTGGGAGGACTGCCAGCTTTCCGTCCCCCCAGCACCCCTGCCTGCCATATGCCTGGTAAATCTAAAAGACCTGCAAAAGCCACTAAGGACTCTGACTCCTTTACCCCGTCTACATGGGATCATAAGAAAACCTGCACTGTGTCATTTCTGCCCTACAGTGTCCTATCCAGGGTGGTTCTTCCCCATTAGGCTCCAGTCACCTGTGACCCTGAACTCAAATAAGTGGGTTGGAAAATTAGTGAATGAATGAATATGAGCTATTGTTTATTATTAGAAGTGTTTCAGCTCTTTATTTAGAAGTTTGGTGATGTTTCTTGTTACCAGTATGGCATAGGAACTTAACTCTTGTTTTTATCAGTTAGCCTATGATAAAATTGGTTTCATTATATTTGATTTCACTTAAAGTTGCAAGAACCTACAATGGTAAGTGAGGAGTTCCTGTACAGGGTTTTATAGGCCATAGTGAAAATTAGGTGAGTGACATGAAAAGTTACTGGAGGATTTTAAATACAGAGGTGATATGATCTGAGTTCTTTTTTAAGGGATCACATTGGCTATTATGAGAATAGATTGGGGGTGGGGCAGGACAAGTACAAGCAGAAGACCAACAGTTAGCAACTGTTATAATAATCCAGGCAAGAAATAACAGTGGCTTGATAAGGGTGGTGGCAGTGAAAACGGTTATTGGATATATTTTGAAGGGAGAACTGGTGGTATTTGCTGACAGGAGATGAATTGTGGGGCTTGAGAGAAACAATTCGACAAATGATGCCAAGGTCACTCTAAGGTTTTTCGTCTGAGCAACTGGAAAAGAGAGTTACCATTCATGAAAATGGGGAAGGTTGTAGAACAAACAGGTTTATGGGAACGATCAGGAGTTTCTGTTTTGACATGCTTTATTTGAGATGTTTAGTAGGTTGCTAGATATTAGAATCTGGAGTTCAAGAAGGCAATTAAAGCTGGATACATATATTTTGTAGTCACTAATGGATAAAAGGAATTTAGAGTTATGAGACTGGATGAAAGCAATCACCAAGTGTCGATAGAAAACAGAAGGGACCCAGGATATAACTCTGGAACACTCCAAAGTTAAGAAGTAGAGAAGAAAACAATGAAGTGGCAAAGGAAACTGAGAAGTAGTAGCCAATAAAGCAGGAAAGAAACCAGAAAGTGAGTGACTAGATTAAATGCTGCTGATTGGTCAAGCAAGATCAAAACTGAGAGCTAGGTATTGGATTTATTAACACAGAGGTCACTGGTGACCTTATCAAGAACAATTTCAGAAAAAATAAATTGAAAAGAACAGAGGACGAGGATAGCAAACAACTCAAATACAGACAACTCACTAGAAGAGTTTGCTATAAAGGAGTTAGATATACGGAGTAGTAGTTTGGGTGGAGCGAGTGAGGTCAAGAGCAGGTGTTTTATTTAAGATGGGTGCATGGTTGTGTGTCTAATAGGAAATAGCTAATGAAGAGAGAAAAACTGATGATGTAGGAAAAAGAGCAGAGATTTGCTGAAGTGATGCCTTTAAGTTAGCAAGAGTCATCCACACTTAAGAGGAGGCAAATGGAGCATGTAGGCACACAGATGCTTGCAGGTGAGAAGATGGAGGGGTGGGAGTTACTGGAAGTTCTCCTCCCCCTCCTTCAATTTTCTCAGTGAAATAGGAAAACAGGTCATGAGCTGAGCCAGGCAGAGAGTATCAGAAGCTTGAGGAGAGGGATAAGGTATAAATTGTCATCTAGGAAAATGAAAGAGTAATATAATATAATATACAATATAACAATATTATAACACAACTTATACTACCACCTGAAGTATTTGAGGCTATCAATCTCACCATAGCCTCAGTAGGAATGAGAAGACTAATTTCTCAATATTTGCTATACTGTTAGGTTAAAAGTACCACACTGCACATTTAATCTGCATGTCCAATCACTGTTGTGGTTTAGTAGTCAGTTACACTATTGGTTAGTGTATTTCCTCTTTTGTGATTTGTCTCCTTTTGTCCTTTGCTCATCATTTCATTAATTATTAGGGTATTAGTATTCTTCTTCATAGATTTACATGACTCCTTAAGCTACTAAAGGGATTTATCACAACTGTAGTTTTTTGTCTGCAAGTATTTGAAATATTTTAAACCTTATGGAAGATAATTACTCCATCAAAACACCAATCAAACTCTGGTGTCCCCTTGGCACAGTTGCCAAGCAGGAAATGGGGCACATTACCTTAAGCGATGCAAGGGGGTGTTCTGGTCCCAAGAGGCTCCAGTGAAAAGCAGCCAGGTCCTCATCTGGGAGAATGTGGTTACCTATGAAGTACATTTGTCAGTATAAATGTTTTTTAGAACCTTCAAGCCATGAAAGGGCTTTTTGGAGACAAAATGACCGAATAATTCACATAGTCTCCATTTTTAATCTAAAAACTACAGTAGGCTATGTATCAATTACGTACTATGTACCCCATGCATGTCTCTTTTTAACTGATATGCATGGTAGTATTATCTCATTTTATAGATAAATAAGGAAACTGAAGTTCAGATAAGTTTGATGACTTAGCTTAAAGTGGCAGTTAGTAAGTGCCCACACCAGCATAAGAAGTGAAGGACTGACTCCAAAGCCCATGCTATTATCTATCATCTAGTCATGCTGCACTTTATATCAGTCACCAATAATTCACTGCCTAATAAGTGCTGGGCATTTTATATATCCAATTTCATTTAACCTTATCTATAACACCATGAGGTATTATTATTATTTACATTCCACAGATGAGGAAACTAGGAGGCATAACTTCAGTGATTTGCCCAGTCTAGTTCCAAAACTTGTGCTGACTTCATTAGATTATTCAAGCTCAAATCCTTTAGGATTCAAGAGCAGAGGTCACCTGACACAGGGTATTAACTTTCATGCTATGAGTACTTGCAAAACCAACTCCAAACATAATCAACTGCAATTTGCTTTGAAATACATCTTTAAAAGAGAGATGGATAGAAGAATGGATAAATGATATATCAACTGTAATAAAATGTTAATGGAATTAACATTTCATGTAATAGGTACAGGGTTTTCACTGCAAAATTCTTTCATTTTTCCTATATATTTGGATATTTTCATAATACAATGTTAGCATAACAGAAACAAAGAAAAACATCAATTTGTGTTCTTATCTAAATCTAGACACTGGGGAAAAATACTTATGCTCTGAGTAAGGAACCAAAGTTGTCCAGGGTCACGGAAATGTTTGGCCTAAGACAGTACTCCATATATAGTAGTTATGGAATGTAACAAAAGGAAAAGTTTTACAAAAATCAAAATAATGTTCCGAAATGGCCTGTATTAATTCATAAGACAAACATGCTGAGTTCCTAGTAAGCCCAAAAGCCTCCTGGGTGTTCCCTAGCATAGTTTGGCATGTGGACTTCAAGAAGATAAATTCATTAATGATAAGCTAAATCACTCTCATGTTCATCTCTTAACATTAGAAGACAAAACTTTACCAATCACTAGGATTTGTTCTTTGGACTGCCTACCTAGCAGTGCGGCAAATATGGGAAAGTTTATCCGTTTCAGACCCAGCTGCTTGGCCACTTCCTGCATAAGGAATTGGTTGGTAGTGAGGTTCTTTCCATTCCAGCTCAGCTTCAAGGCATGAGAACTGTAGTAAGAGGGAATATTGTAGAGAGCATACTCAGAGTCATGGGCAAGAAGGCCATGAAAGCCATTTTCCCTGAAAAAAGCTACCACTTCCAAATGGTGGTCTTCAAGGCTCTGAAAGACCTAGGAGGAAAGAGAAAAAAAAAACAAAAACATGTCATGCAACAGAAGCTGACCTGTGTTTGGTTAGAAATCAGGAAGGTTAGCAACCAAATTTTATGGTTTGTTGAAAGTTAAGCTTATACATAGCAGAACAGAATACTCTTTTAAAAAAAGAAAAATTCTCTCCCAGACTAGAATGTGATTGTTTCTATAAACATAGTGTTATTCATGTGTTAAATATCCAGTCTTTTTGGTTCCTTTCATGAAACTGGCCTGAGGCTCTTCAAAAGTGGAATACCGAAATTAACATGGTATATATTAAACTATTATTTTAAACAAGAAGAGACCTTAGTTAGAAAAATAAAGTTATTTTATAAAGCATCTTCTATATTTAAATACATTATCTCATTGTGAGAATAGCCATGGCAAGGTAGATACAGATGAAAAAATCTTAAATGTGGAAATTAGACACAGAAAGGTTAAATAACATGTAGCTAGAATCTGAATCTAAGTTCATCTAACCCTTTGCTTTCTTTCTTCGCACATTAAACTACAAGACACTCAAACAGATCATTTGTAACATGTAAACTTCACCCCATTTTAAAAGTGTGTAGGGTAAGGAAAAAGTATCAGGCTTTTCTGCCCTCCCGCCATTAGGAGAGATGAGGGAACCCTGTGGTCCTGAATGCATGCCTGATAGCAGGCACCTGAAGGGGGTACACCTGGGCTGAGAGACTGAGTTTATAAGGGCGGCGTCATGGGGACGCCAGCAGAAGCCAAGAATGAACGGAAGCTGAGAGAAGAAGAAGAGAAGCAGAGAGAACACCAGAGAGCCCAGATAGAGTGAGGATTTGCTGGGGGCTGGGAGGACTGCCAGCCTCCCGGCCCCCCAGCACCCTGCCTGCCATATGCCTGGTAAATCTAAATAAAAGACCTGCAAAAGCCACTGAGGACTCTGACTCCTTGTAGGGTAAAGAAAATATCAGGCTTTTCTGCCCTCCCGCCATCAGGATAGATGATGGATCCTTGTCCTGAATGCATGCCTGATGGCGGGCACCTGGAATAGGGTGTGGGCATAGGTAGATGGGATTCACCTGGGCTAAGACTGGGCTTTTAAGGGCGGCGTCACAGGGACGCCAGCAGCAGCAGCAGCCGAAAGAGAAGCCGAGAGAGAAGCAGAAGCTGAGAGAAGGCCGGAGAGCCCAGAGAGAGTGAAGACTTGCTGGGGGCTGGGAGGACAGCCAGCCTCCCGGCCCCCCAGCACCCTTATCTGCTGTGTACCGGGTAAATCCCAATAAAAAGACCTGCAAAAAGCCACTAAGGACTCTGACTCCTCCTTTACCTGGTCTGCTGGATCAGAAAACTTGTACTGTGCCCATGCCCTGCCCTTACACTCCTCCTTTACCCGGTCTGCTGGATTAGAAATCCTGCTCAGTGGCTGTCCTGCCCCTACAAAGTGCAAAAACTGGGCCTCACTGGTGGCTCAAGGGGTTAAGTCACAGCACTAAGAAGCTATCAGCAGAGACTGCAGCAGGAATTCTATCCCCTCCGCCAGGGAGCTGACCCAAGTGGTGCAGCAGACCTCTCCTGACTCACTAGCTGCTCCCCTCAGCAGTGTATTTTAGTACATCTGCCTGTTCTGCTCCCCACTCTGTATCTGGTGAATCCTCTTATCCCCTGCATCTCAGGCCTGTGCCCTAGTTCACAGCTTGATAGCACTGTGTCTTTAACCCCTGAACCACCAGGGAGGTCCCCAGTGGGGACACTGTAAGTTTCATTTTACGGCTGAGGTAATGAGGCTCAGAAAAGTGATGTGCCAATCAAAAAAGATATACACATGCAGTTTGCAGCAACATAGATGAAGCTAGAAGGGATCATGGTCAGCAAAATAAGTCAGAAAGAAAAAGAAAAATACCGGATGGTCTCACTTATAGCAGGAATCCAGAAAACCTAAATAAGAGACCAGGAAAAAGACTAATCAATACAAAGTAAAAATCAAAATCAACAAGCAACTATAAACCAGAGACACACTGGGGGTGGGGGGTGGGGAAAGGAAGGACTAGAGTCAAAATAAGGGGGGGGTCCAATTGTATGGGGAATATAACCAAAATGAAAATGCATACATTGTGCAAAGATGAAAAAAGATGTAAGAATTATATAAAATAAAATATTTAAATAAAAATAGTGATGTGCCATGCTCAGGGCCATACAGCTGGGCAACAGGAACCTGGGTAAGACTAACACTAAACTCTATGGTGTTTCTACTATAGCACATTACCTTTAGCTGACCTGAAGCTGATTATGTCACCATCCGAATGATTTCACTCCAGAAAGTGAAGGACAAATGATTTTTAATGCATGTGGTTACTCTTGTATCACAAGGGATGTAAATCACAGTCACCTTGAGAGATTTTCCAAACTACATACCCTGAGATATGCTGAAACAGCCATAATTTTAAAAATAATATATGTTGGCAAGGATGTGGAGAAACTGGATTTCTCTGAACATTGCTGGTAAGAATGTATAATGCTGCAGCCACTTTGGGAAAGTCTGAGAAGTCCTCAAATGGTTACACACAGACTTATTCCATAATACAGCAATTCCATTCCTAGATATATATTTACTCAAGATACTTGAAAACATATTTTTACACAAAAACTTACACATGAATGCTCACAACAGTTTTTTTCCTAAGTCAAGGATCGATCATCTATCCTGATGGTGTGTATAAACAAAATGTAGGTGTTTTGGTAGTGGGAGAGTGACCACACTTGAGGGGAGAAATTCAATATGTCAAAATATTAACAGAGATATAAAACCATAATACTTGTAGGGTAAGGAAAAATGTCAGGCTTTTCTGCCCTCCCACCATCAGGGTAGATGATGGATCCTTGTCCTGAATGCATGCCTGATGGTGGGCACCTGGAATAGGGCGTGGGCATAGGTAGACAGGATTCACCTGGCCTAAGACTGGGCTTTTAAGGGCGGTGTCACGGGGACGCCAGAGAAGCCGAAAGAGAAGCTGAGAAGCAGCAGAACAAACAGAAGAGCAGAGAAGCAGAGAGAATGCCGGAGAGCCCAGATAGAGTGAAGACTTGCTGGGGGCTGGGAGGCCTGCCAGCCTCCCAGCACCCCCAGCACCCCTGCCTGCTGTGTACCGGGTAAATCCCAATAAAAGACCTGCAAAAACCACTGAGGGCTCTAAGACTCCTCCTTTACCCAGTCTTCTGGATCTTAGAAAACCTGTTTAGTGCCCCTTCCTGCCACTACAATACTTCATTAAAATAAACAAGTAAAATAAAAACAGCAAAAAACCCAATTTGTGGTATATCCATACAGGGGAATTTTATTCAGCCATAAAAACAATGAAGTACTGATTCATGTCACATGAATGAATTTTCAAAACATAAGGTGGAAAGATGTCAGACACAAAGGCCACATATTTTATGATTCCTTTATATGAAATGTCATAAAAGGCAAATCCTCACATTGCTGTGAAGTAGATCTCCAGAACTTTCTCATCTTGCAAATTAAAACCCATACCCATTAAACTCTCCCTTTGCCCCTCCTCTCAGCTGCTGGCAATTGCCATTCTTTAGAAACTTTCCGTTTCTGTGAATATCACTACCTTAGATATATCTTGTAAGTAGAATCATACCATATTTGTCTTTTTGTGACTGGCTTATTTCACTTAACATAGTGTCCTCAAGGTTCATCCATATTGTAGAATGGGGCAGGATTAACTTCCTGTTTAAAGCTAAACAATACTCTTATGGATATATTTTCTTTATTCATCTGTCCATGAACATTTGGGTTGCTTCCACTTCAAAGTTATTTTGAATAGTGCTGTTATGAATGAACATATATGTATAAATATCCCTTCAAGATACTGCATTCAGTCCTCTTGGATAAAGAACCAGAAGTGGAACTACTGGATCATAGGATAGGTCAGTTTTTTAATGTTTTAAGGAATCGCCAAACTATTTTCCATAGAGGCTAGAACATTTTATATTCAAACAACAGTGCACAAGGGTTCCAATTTCTCCACTACCTCACATTTGTTCTACTTTCTTTTCAAAGAGATCCTAACAGTTATATCCATCCTAACAGTTGTGAGCTAATAATTCACTGTGGTTTTCATTTGCATTTTTCTGATGGTTAGCAATGTTGAGTACCTGGTCATATAATTGGTGTTCATTAATAGTATACTTTAAAGCAAATTCCATACATCAAATCACCTATAAGTACTTCATTATTTATCTTTAACAGTTTAAAAATACCATAGATGAAATACTATAATTACAGTCAACAAAATTAACAAGTTTCTTAATATCAATATCCAGTCATATGCTATTTTTTTGTGATAATTCTCTATTTTTAAAATATTTTATATATATTTTACATCATTGTTCATTTTTGTATGTTTGCTTTCTTTTCTCAGGTGTAGTCCCCATAGAATTCCTACCACCAATTCACCCATGTACCATCATCACCATAGTCCCTTGTGCTCTTCCCTCCCCTGCAGAACAGCTCTGATTTATAGTTGCCTGTTAATTTTTTTATTATTTTTTTCCTGATCCCTTATTTGGCTCTATTTCCATGACTGCTTTAAAAATGTCTTTTGATAATTGGTTTGTTCAAATCAGTACCCAAATAGAGTCCACATGCTATATTTGGTTGATATTGCTCTTAAGTATCTTAGTTTATAGCAGTTGCCTTTCCCTTTATTTAAAATGTCATTTGTCGAAAACACATACCTTGTTTTTTAAATTAAAAAATATGGATTATTCAACAAATGGTGTTGGAATAACTAGAAGTTTATTTGAGGAAAATAAGATGGATCCATACCTCATACTTTAACTGGGATAAACACAAAATTAGAAGATACCATGGGGGCAAATTCCTTTAAGTGATCTCAAGAGTGGGAAAAGTTTAAGAAAAAATCTAGGCCAGTAAAGAGAAAGACCAATCCTTTTGACTATAGAAAATTAAAACATTGTTTGGGCCTCAGGGGTTAAAG